TTTCAATATTATCACAAAAAAATTTTTATTAATAACACAATTAACTTCGAGAGCCTTTTAACGGTCATGACTGGATTTTAGATGCCTAATAAATTCTCGGGAAGTCCCAAGTTCAAATCCTGGCTGAGGTAATATTTTTTGCAATAAGTTCTTTTCAGTATTTTAAGATGTTTATAAGCATCGATTGATTAGGAAGATCAATATGATATTTCTATTCCAGCCTCAGCTAATAATTGCGTTTCAAGTCCGAACATTTAATCAGCGCGCAGTTTAACGGCTGTACATGGATTTCAAAAAAATTCATATAGAATTTATTAGGCATCCAAGATTCAGCCGTGACCGTTAAAAGGCTCTCGAAGTTAGTTGTGTTATTCATTTAGGCGGTCTTATTCAAAAAATTACTTTTATTAATATTGAAAATAAATATATTAGAATTTTATTGCTATATATACTTTATGAATATATATTCTGATATTAATATTTAATTAAAATATTTTATTTCATAGAAAGAATAGATTTAAAAATACTCATTTTAATGGAAAACGTTAGACATATTTTACTCTTGTATAACATACGTTTAATTAGTTTATCGCTTTGTGTTCCTGTTAAAGGAACAGCTGCGAGTTCTTCCGTTATAGATGCTCCATAGACAGAAGGCGTTATCATTTCTAAACGGTGTTTCAAGTTATTTACTATGTGTGGGAACATGTTCTCGTAGGCGACGAAATGATATGAAGACAAGCCTTCAAGCACGATGACTACGGTATGGCTTATCTTTGGAGAAAATTATTTATACTTAGAATCATTAAATATTAATGGCAAACTGTTTCTAGAGTAAAGTACTGCTTAAAAGTTTTTTTTATGTTAAATTAGCAAACGTTACTTTGTTATACTTCTCAAGTTGACACCATCTCGCCGGTAAGTAAGGAGAATGATGTCCAAGCAGTGAATATAACAGAAGATGCTGTATATCGCTAAGAAATAATGGTATCCTCTTTCCAATGTTTCTGACATCTAGAGTAGCATTCTCGCCGACTGCTTTGAGAGTGAGTCTCGGAATTGCTTGAAGCCTCTTCTTGCGTTTTCTAAGCTCTTCCTTCAAGCTCGCATATTGGTTGGCATCGTTTAATCTGTATATATATTTATTTGTATACAATATATACAATATATGTATATATTGTATTATGATATACAGATTTTTATGTAGTTTAAACAATTTTTAAGGGGTGATTTCTCACATTAAATCAAGACGAAAACTTTATATAATTGTATGTATATTTGAAATGGAATAGTTTCAAATACAAGGTGTCAAAGTTGAAGTCCCTGATTAAATAAAAATAATAATATTGGTCTCAAAACATGGGGCTTCATGTCCTTGAAAGTTTTATGTCCATACAAAGTTTTATCAAAACAAAGAGAATTATTTTTTTAAAAATTAAATTTTTTTTCTTCACTTTAACACTGCATCTTTAAAATTAAGCCATGGATACAGGATCATATGAAATCTTGTTTCGAATTAATGTGAGAAATCGTTCTATAACCTTCGATTGTTACGCCTTTTTTCAATCAAGTTTATTTGGGGTCAATTTGTCAAACCAATTTTCAAAAGGCTGCCGTTTAAAAACTAACAGTTTAATTGGATCACAAAAATTCTTAAATTCGAACATTGTACAATGTATTCTGATAGTATAGAATTTAAAATTAAAGTGGCATCATATTGAAAAAATGTCTTAAAGGAAAGTAAGTTTTGAAAAAACCCATTACTCAAAGTAAAAAGCTGGGGTCATTTTGTCAAGTGTGACAATCGAAGGTTAAAATCTTTTAGAATACTTAAGGACCACTCTGCATATACTATTCATAAATCAAATTTACCTGGGTTTTTTATTTTTATCCTGTAATTCTGGATCATTAGAAACATTTTTGTCCTTACGAGCTTCTAAACATGTACCATCTGAATTTTTCTCACAAGTTCGTTTACGTGTAGAATTGTCTTTTGCCATATTAGTATCATTCGGATTGATAAGTTGATCAGAGGTGGCTACTGTCTAAAAATGACTCCATAAAGCTACTGACAAAAGCATTAATTGCTTCAAATTATTCTTAGACCTAATATATAAACCTGCTTCAAAGTTTGCAGTTTTGCCTCCTTATCTTTATCATTGAGCCTTGCAATTTCCAAAAATGCTGCCATCTTTGCTTTCTTCTTTTCTAATCGTTGTAATTGTTTTGTCGTGCGCTCTTTCATAATTTATTGCCTTGTATCAGTTGTAGATGATTTATAACCTGCAATTATAAACATATGAAATTTCATTGTAAAATCTGTCTAAAAGTAGATCTAGAAACTACATAACAAATTTGATCAAATAGAAGTTGTTAATATGAATAATTGCAAATAAAATTGTAGACATTTATAACGTTAATTGAAAGCGTAGTAAATTATATGCTACGAAAACATTTCGACATATTGATATTCGTGATCAAATAAAAGTTCTTAACATACATAATTGCAAATAAAATAAATTGTAGAAATTTACAACGTTAATTGTAGGCGCAGTAAATTATACGCTACGAAAACATTTCAACATATTGATGTGATTAAGTAAAAGTTCCTAACATGTATAATTGTAAATAAAACAAATTGTAGAAATTTGTAACGTTAATTGAAAGCATAGTAAATTATACACTGCGAAAACATTCCGACGTAAATTCGGTTGTGCTGCTCATGATGCATTATGTGTACGATGCATTATCAGCTCATGTATTTGCAAAACCTTAACAAATTAACAAATTACCTGTTAAAAAGATTCAGCATTATTTTGATTTATCAATATATTATAACGATAACACGGCCTAAATATATTATACACGAATATATACATACATATGCGAATGATACAAACCGCATGTAAATTTTTAGGTTAGGAAACGCATGCTACGCACAAAAAAACAGTCTGCTCTTCGCAGCTATGTTGTGCTACTCCCTGAAATGAAACGTTAGAAAGAAAAAGAAGGAAAATGATTAAGACGTTCAGCCACAAAGAATAAACCTTTAGCACAGAGCGGGCCAATCAGATCACATTAATCTCAATCTGCTCTATTCTGACTGGTCGAATTCCTGTGTACAGTGTCATGAACTTTAACGAGAGAGAGAGAGAGAGAGAGAGAGCAAGAGAATTAGAGAGAATCAGAGAATTTGCGAGTCGCAAGCAGAAGATAGTAAGAGACTATAGTCTCGGTAGAGAAGGCTCGTGCGCAGCAGCTTGCTACGTCACATTCGTGCAGTCTCGGCAACGTCCGGCGTACTTCGGCCGGATAAAATGGCTGCCGACGGCCAGACCACAGTTTAACCACAGTATAACCAGTAGGTCCACTTCGTGTCGGCACCTTTGATCTCCTTTTCCGGATCACGTGAGCATCCATCATGTTAAATCCAGGACCG